TTTGGCAAGTTGACAAAATTCGCAATTAAAAGAGGTAGAACTTTTATTAATAAATAAATGAGGAAACAATTTTCCCAGGTACATAAAGTTGGGATGACCTAAACGATAATGAAGTAACATGATTTCACTCTCATTATTAACGTTGGAATAGAATACAGATGTACTAAGCGGATTTAAGCAAGACAGACTTGATACTGGAATACTCCCGGTGGGTGAGTCTAGACTGACAGAGGGTTTGTTGAGGAGATAGAGACCACTGCGCAACTCAGCACTGCCAATCATCCTCCCCGATTTCAAATCCTGAAATTCACAAACATATGGAAAAAATTTAGCAACACAATGACAATCATGAGTGAGCTTACTAATAGAGATCAGATTGCAATCCAAAGTCGGAACATGAAGCACAGAAGTGAGGAATAAATCTGGAGAGATGAGGACAGAACCAAGACCAGCAACTTTGGAAGCTGATCCATCTGCAATCCGAACAGTGAGGGTCAGGATTACACGGCCGGTAATTCATTAATAAAGAGACATCCCCGGTCATATGATCGGAGGCACCTGAGTCAACAATCCAAGGGCGTGAAGAAGTTGAATCCAAGATGAACGCGGATGGGGAAATACCTTGATAAATAACAAGGCCGGTAGCACCCGATGCCGCATTAGTAGGCTGGACTGGTGACAACTGACCGAGCATCTTCTGGAGGCCATGAATCTGTTCCTCGCTGAATGGGCTTGTTCCTAGAGAGCCTTCAGTGGTGCTGGTGGCAGCTGCCCGATGATCCCGTTTGGGTTTCCCATTGGCGGGTTTGCCATGAATCCGCCAACACGTATCCCGAGTATGGCCAGAACGGCGGCAGTGGTCACACCAAGGGCGGCCCTGGCGTTGACGGTTGTCTGTGGATGGAATATGAGCAACAAGTGCAGACCCGTCGAGGGCTGTAGTGGACAAGGAAGCACCTAACATGACCTTTTAGCGACTCTCTTCGCGGCGTATATCGGAGAAAGCTTCACGAATTGTTGGAAGAGGTTTCGAATTTAAAATCCGTGAGCGAGTCTGGTCAAACTCAGATTTGAGG